AATTTTCCCAATGGAAGCTTCGTAGCGAATAATTGATTCTGCAGATTACATTTTGATATTGCAAGCGTCGAATTCACGTCTCTTTGACCTCTATCATCGAATGACCACTCGGAATTATTTACGACGTGATAAAGAAGTATAAGTTATGAGACGAAAACGCTGCAGAAATCAGAGTATAAGAACATAACCAACCCAATCTGATGGTCTTTTGGATGAGAAACCAGTCACCGGGTAAACAATGGCAATGTGATCATATTAATAAATCATTTGTTCTTCTTATTCTACATGACAGCCCATACATGAACCAGATATACCAAGTTTAAAGACCTGCAAATGCTACACCCCACAACTGTCAGACGTGTTTATGATCCTACGGGAGATAGGCGACGCGGAAGCTCAGCTGATTCTTAAGTGTGAGGAGACTGTCTCCTCCGCCTTCCTCTGTCTGTTCTCGCGGATCAGCTATGCACCAGCCTCCAGCGGCGCAATAAAATTGTTAGGCATAATTCCTCCCTTGCAATTAGAGTTAGAAAAATAACTTTGAAGGGCCAAGCGTCCAACGTTACGTAATGTTTGGGCGCCTTGTTTACTCAGGCTGTTTCGTTCGCGATCAAAGTCTACCTAAATTGGCTGGTTTTTCATAATCACCGTTTCAGCGTCCACGTAAAGGAGAATGGGAAAACTGAAGCGAATAAGCAAGCTTTTGGATTTCGGCCCCTTTATACCTTTTTGACGGGTACCCTATGTGGGACACTTCATTCTATAGAGCTTTTGGTGTGGCACTAACTCCCGTTTCGGCGTCATCTGCCAAACGTCCCCTCACCTTGAAGGCAATGTCTGGAATATAGCGCCACGGAATGTCACAATTTTCTGCGAATGCTGAAGTGTGATTCGATTGATTTTGACATGCAATGTACTGGTTTCTTAAAACCGGTAATTTAAATAGAAAGTCTAACTCACAACTCAGGTCATGGCACCGGCAAGGCCGGATAAACGATAAATCAAAATCTGCCGGTAAAAACTTCACACGAGCTTCAATTATTGAAAAACTTACCTAATTCGGTATAGAAAGTAAATTAGCTCATTCGAGAGGATTCAAAAAAATTTTTGTTTTAGCGCCCGTGTTATTCAAATGGATTTAAAATGCCGGAATATGTCGAGAAGGTAATAATCACGTCGCAAACCAGTTAGTCTATCTTTCGAGATAAGGCACATGTTCAAATCAATCTGAATGATTTTGGTTGTGGAAGTGAATTTTTAATTATAACGGTTATCTGTCCCGAAATAGAGGTTGAACTAGAGGTTTCCCTCTTGAACAATCCGAACTTTCAACGAACCCGCAATTGTGCTGTTCATTCGGCTTGTTCACTTGTTTCCAACTGGTGTAGAGTCTTTCGAAAATGTTGCGTATGACATATAGGCGTTACAAGGTGCCTGCCTTTGAATATAATCGGTTCAAGAACAACGGCAAGCATTCTAATTCAGTTATTAGTCAGTCAGTGTCTGATAAAGCATTCCCTTTAAAGTCCTCGATGG